TTAGACACATTTTCTAAAAATGAAATAGGCATTTTGAATATAGACATTTTTTCTTTCACTGTGCTTTACTGAGAAACATATAAAACCTAAACTGTAAAGTGTATTTTTCAAAGAGACTTGAGGTGTATATTTCCTTGCTTCCAGGATCCTGAATGTCTAAACCTCCCAGAACAGATGGCATTAAGCTCTCTGAATTGACACCTCTAGAGCTGAAACTCCTTAACCTTTCTTGCTCTGAAGGTCAACATTGTTTACTTACATCTCTTCCTGTTTGTTCTATGCTCATTTCTTACATCTCAGTTCTCATTTTTTAAATCCTGTATGAATTATTTAATTTTGCATGATAATAATTAAGTCAGCCTTTATTGTTCGTCACTTCTGGCTTATTTTTAACCTCAGTCACATTCAATTTTGCACAAATCATGAAATTAATCATGTCACAAAACAAAATAGTTGTAACATAGTAATGCATCAATTTGGAAATGTGGGAAAGTGTTAGGTTTCTGAACTGTCAAAATTTCTGGTTTGTTACTTTAATATTATATTCATTTATTATTGTGCGACCCCGGCTGTGGGACCCCGACCCACGGAGGCAAGCGCTCAATAGACTCGAGGCAGGACGCGTGGTGACCGGTACCGACTTTATTGGGATCTCCGGGCGACTCAAGCGGGAAGGGAGGAATCGCGCGCGCTTTCTTTGTTCGGTCGACTTTATAGGGACAAAGGGACTGGGGCGGTAGGAGAGCTGGTGGTGCGGGTGGTGATTGGTTCAGTGGGCCGCTGGGTGGGAAGGTTGCTGGTCTTGGGCCGGGCCAGGATAGAGTGAGATCAGGGACCCTCCCTGTGGGGGAGGAAGGGCCTTCCTTATCGGGAATTAGGTCCTTTCCACATGGCTGGGGAACGGGGCCAAAAAGTCCTCTACCAGACAATTATGTGACTAAAATTTCTATTTTTTTCTATTGAGGTAAACATATTATTTCTCTATAACATAAGTAATCTTTTTATTATGGTATTTGCTGATATTATATGGTAAGCATCTTTGTTTGTGTTGCTATAAAGGAATACTTGAGGCTGAGTATTTTATTAAAAAGAGAGGTTTATTTGGCTCACAGTTGTGCTGGCTGTACAAAAATGCATGGCACTGACATCATCTGCTCCTGCTAAGGGCCTCAGGCTAGTTCCACTCATGGCAGAAGGCAAAAAAGGAACATGTGTGTGCAGAGATTATATAGCAAGAAAGGAAACAGAAATTAGAGTAGAGGCTCCAGTCTCTTTTTAACAACTAGCACTAATGGGAACTAATAGAACAAGAACTGATTCACATGCATTCCAGGGAGGGCATTAATCTATCCATTGGGGAGATTATCCATCCATGAGGATTAATCTATCCATCCTCATGACTCAAATACCTCCTATGAGACCCCACCTGCAACACTGGAAATCAAATTTTAAGTTGAGGTTTGGGGAAATAAACATTGAGCTATAGCAGTAAGCATTTAGATTTTAGGTAACTCATATTTCTAATAGTTTTCACAGAATCATATGCCAATCATTTATGTACCATGATACATATAGCTATATAATGAAGAGAGAAGGGTCATAGAAGTGAAAGTCTGTAGTAACTTTGTAAACATGAAAATATTTGTCATTAATGTTTTCTGAAATATATCAATGCAGATCTAAAGGATTGCAAGCTATAATATTCCACTGAAATATAAACAATTTTATTTGTGAATTGTATAAAATTATGTATTTAAAATTATTTCACATTTCCAGTCTTTTTGGAATATTATAGTTTTTAACCTTGTCCTTATTTATAAATAATATAATTCAGTAATAATATTTTCTGACTTTGACTTACTTCCTTCTCAAGATCCTCTAAATAATTAGGCATAATTAAAAGGTTAACTAAGACTATAAACTTGAGGTTTTAACAAACTTTCTGACTATCAAAGTAAGATATTTCTCAAGTAAATAAATGAACAAATGGGCAAATGGATGGATGGGTCGATAAAATAATGCTAAAATGATACCAATTAGAATGCAGAAAAACAGGTTTCAACATGAAACAACTGAAATTCTCATGCATTGCTGGTGAATATAAAATGGTATGGCCATTTTATACACATACAATTGTGGTTTTATATTTGTCCTTATTTATAAATGATTGACTTCAACAGTAGTCATTTTCAGATGTTTTTATTAGATTCTAGCTGCACTCCTCTAGATAAATAAAAATTCATTAAAAGGACAACTAACAGTATCACTTTTAATCCTTAATGAAGTGTTCAAATCACCCTAGGGTGTTTTTCAAATAGAAACAAAAATAAATAGCAAGAAGACGCTAGTGAAAATGCAAACAGACTCTAATAATGATCACTTGAAAGTCATATTGTTCATGGTCACTTATTATTCTATTATAAAAATTCATGATATTATCATTGCCCAATTTATTCTTATTGAGATCAGCATATAGTCTTGAAAATTTATGAGGAAAAATTTGCAAATCTGGGCCGTTGACATCTGTGGTTATCAGGGGGTTAGAGGATTCCCTTGACAGGTTTTTCCCTGTAAAGGAGATAAGGCTTCATAAACAACCCCCATTTTCTCAGTTTTACTCATCCCATTCAACCCTGAAAAGGTAGAGCTACATTATTATTTTCTGTTTATGGGAAGAGTGAAGTGGTACAAAATTTGTGTGTGTGTGTGTGGGTGTGTGTGTGAGAGAGAGAGAGAGAAACAGAAAGAAGGAGAAAGAGATCAATGTCAAAAATTGAATGTCAGGCACTGTTGTGACTGTAATCAGTCATGTCTATTTTGTGCATTTGGTTAATATCTGTAAGTTTCTGAAAAAGAAAAAGAAATGAAATGGTCCGGATATTTACAAAAAGGAGTCAAACTCTGTAGACTATTTGAAGAGATTTATTCTGAGCCAAATATGAGTGACTGTGGCCCATGAAACAGCCCTCAGAAGGTCCTGCGAACATGTGCCCAAGGTGGGTGGGATTCAGCTTGGTTTTATACATTTCAGGGGGGCATGAGACTTCAGTCAAATACATTTAAATACATTTTAAAAATACATTGATTTGGTCTAGAAAGGTGTGACAACTTTTTTGGTATAGAAAGCCAGTGGGCAGGGATTACTTCTTACAGGCTTTTGGTAAATTTAAACATTTTCTAGTTGAAAATTGGTTGAGTTTGTCTAAAGACCTGGGATCTATACAGCAAGCAATGTCTGGGTTAATATAAAAGCCAAAATAGACAAATGAGATCTAATTAAACTAAAGAGCTTCTGCACGGCAAAAGAAACTATCATTAGAGTTAACCAGCAACCAACAGAATGGGAAAAAAAATTTTGCATCTACCCATCTGACAAAGGGCTAATATACGTAATCTACAGAGAACTGAAACAAATTTACAAGAAAAAAACAAACAACCCCATCAAAAAGTGGACAAAGGATTTGAACAGACAATTCTCAAAAGAAGACATTTATGCAGCCAACAAACATATGAAAAAAAGCTCATAATCACTGGTCATTAGAGAAATGCAAATCAAACCTACATTGAGATACTATCTCATACCAGTTAGAATGGTGATCATTAAAAAATCAGGAGACAACAAATGCTGGAGAGGATGTGGAGAAACAGAAATGCTTCTACACTGTTGGTGGAAGTATAAATTAGTTCTACCATTGTGAAAGATAGTGTGGCCATTCCTCAAGGATCTAGAAATAGACCATTTGATCCAGCAATCCCATTACTAGGTATATATCCAAAGGATTATAAATCATTCTATTATAAAGACACATGCACACATATGTTTATTGCGACACTATTCACAATAGCAAAGAGTTGGAACCAACCCAAATGCCCATCGATAATAGACTGGATAAAGAAAAAGTGGCACTTATACACCATGGAATATTATGCAGCCATAAAAAAGAATGAGTTCATGTCCTTTGCAGGGACATGGATAAAGTTAGAAACCATCATTCTCAGCAAACTGATACAAGAACAGAAAACCAAACACCACATATTCTCACTCATAAATGGATGTTGAACAATGAGAACATCTGGACATAGAGAGGGGAACATCATACACTGGGACCTGTTGGGGGTTGGTGGGCTAGGAGAGGGTAAACAGCAGGTGGGTGCCCAGGGGAGGAATTACATTAGGAGAAATACCTAATGTAGATGATGAGGTGATGGATGCAGCAAACCACTATGGCTGGTATATACCTATGTAATAAACCTGCACATTCTGCACATGTACCTCAGAAGTTAAAATATATTAAAAAAAAAAAAAAAAAAAAAAAAAAAAAGAGGTTGTGAAGACCAAAGTTTTATCACGCAGATGAAGCCTCAGGTAGCAGGCTTCAGACAAAATAGGACATAAAATGTTTCCTATCGGACTTAAAGTCTGTGTTGATGTTAATGTCTTCCTATCATGGCCTGAACCAGTCCTTTAGGTTAAATTTTATAAGAGTTCTGGCTGAGGAAGAAGTCCATTCAGATAGTTGGGGGTTCTTAGAATATTTTTTTTAATTTACACCTATAAGAACCCTGAAGCATGCAATATTAAGCAAATAACCTGATAGTTACAAAATTAGACACTGAAGGTTTCCAATATCTCACCCAATCCTCCTTTAACTTCCTCGCCAGCATCCAGGCGGGTGCCCCTGGCCCATCATCTGAAGGAAGTTGGTTTGATTGGACTTCTTTTAGGACACATCTAATCTCTGCTGGTGGGGAAGGCAGGAAGCCTGGAATATCTGAGGAATGCGGTAAAAGTGGAAAGAAACCATGTGTTGAAGACATCCATTGTGTGGACAATAAAGAAATTTCTTTACTTTTCTAAAAATTCATGATGTTTCTTATTTTAAAAAACATGCTGAATATCACAATGGCTAACATGTATTAGGTATCAATTTTGTGACATGCTTTATTCCAAATGATTTTTATGTAATAGCTCATATCCTATCAACAACCCACTTACATTATTATTGTTATTATCTTCATTTTAATGATGAGAGAGTTAGCTAATGAGACCCAAGTTTCAGAGCAGGGATTTGAATCCTGGTTTTGAACCCAGTCTGGCTCTGCATAGTATACTCTTAATCCGCACCTTAGGAAAGAAAGCAGAAACAAATAAGTAAATAAATAAGATGTTTTTCACTTTAAATATAATATTTAAATATTTTTCAAAATAATGATTCTCAAAAATCTTACAAAATATTATTTTGTTATGACAATAACAAGAATATTATGAAAAAGTCCTGCTATCCAATTAATGTATAGTAATAATTAAATTTTGTGGCATCATTTTAATCTGTATTCATTCACAATTTCAGATACTGGCATACTTAAATTAAGCATTTGCAGTGTTCTTATAATATCAGTGAAGTACGTTGCAGTGGTATCATATCTGTGATTTATAGGCTACGGTCTGTGAGACAGAATGAATACTATTTTGTGCCTTAGTTTTGCTTTTTATTCCACAAATAAAGAGCTGAAGACATTTCCTTTCTGGTGATAACATTGAAAGAGTCTCTTCGACCCTTTCAATGATGTGAGAAATCTCCGATGTGAGAAATCTTAAAGAAAAATGTATGTTCAAGAAGGTATTAATTCATTCATTTAATGCATATTTGTGTGGCCTATTATATTCTAGGTCCTGGGGGCACAGTGGCAAATAAAACTGACAATGTCCTTCCTAAAGGGAACTGTAACCTCTACTCTAACCTAAAGGGATATGTAAACTCTACTTTTTCTCATAAATCTCAAAATCTTTCTTAGTAGGGAAAGATAGAGAAAACCAAGGCAAAAGAGCATTTATTAAAAATTTAACCACTGTTGTATTGTTAAAAAATTAATTAAAAAAAAAACTCTCAATACTAGCTTACAAGCAAGGACTCATTAAAGAAAAACTAAATGTTTTCTTCAAGAACACAAATTTGTCTAAGGGTCATAGCAACAAAGTAGGGGGAGATTAGTCTCATGATTCTAAGATCAATTCTTTTTTGTTAGACTACTTAGTGAACCTGAAAATATTTTTAAAATTATTTTTAATAGTAGCCCAACTAGTTTAATGCACAGCAGCGTTCATAATTTATATTTCCAGGGATACCTTTTTAAAGTGATTTTAAAAATGGATTCATCCTAAATAGATGAGTATCCAAAGAAACAAGCTCCCAGAATACATATAAAAGGAAATAATTTTCACGTTTTTATGACCACAATTTTATACCTGATTCCTTAGCATTGTCATGAGAGAAAATATATCTGCTTATTTAATGATAACAAATATTAATGAATTGTACAGATTATTATCCTTTTTTAATGCAGTTTTGCATTGCCAATATCAAAAGCAAGAAACCAGAATGAAATTTAACCAATTGCCCATTCTTTAGAATTGATTACATTTAATGGAATAGAAATTTCCTTATTGGTATATTTTTATTCCTGTCTCCAGAGTGAGTAATTGTTCTAAGAATCAGAGGTAAACCAAACTGTGGAAACTGGGATGAGATGAGGCCTTGGAGTGTGAAAAGATACCTGCAATTGGATTCAAAATGCAGTTCAACTCAAATTGAGGCTGAGGCAGGCCTAGTCTGAGGTTCCCTTGGACACAGCATTAAGACTATGCTGGGGCTTTAGAATGCAAATCCTGTTCGGTGTCAGATATTCCCCTTCTTTCACTGTCCCTTCTTTCCTATTTCCTTCCATTTAACAACCTGAAGTCACTGTTTTTTTGTTTTGTTTTGTTTTGAAAAAGAGATCTCACTATGTTGCCCAGGCTGGTCCCAAACCCCTGGGCTGAAGTGATCCTGTCACCTCAGCCTCCTTAGTAGCTGTGACTACAAGCATATGCCATTTGTGGGCTGAAGGCACTTACACAGATAAGAACTCTGAAGCATGTAATAATGTGACAATGATCTGGTAGCTACAAAATTAGACACGGAGGGTTTTCAGTGTCTCACCCAATCCTCCTTCAACTTCCTTGCCAGCATCCAGGCCGGTGCCCCTGGCCCATCATCTGAAGGAAGTTGGTTTGATTGGGCTTCTTTTCAGAGACATCTAATCTCTGCTGGTGGGGAAGGCAGGAAGCCTGGAACATCTGAGGAATGTGGTGAAAGTGGAAAGAAACCATGTGTTGAAGACATCCTGTTCAAATCTTTCCCCAAGACAGCTTCTGTATTTTACTCTTTAATGAAATATAAATATAGAGAAAAGAAACAAATGTTTGGAAATTTAGATCCCAGGTGTGTGAAAGGACATTTTACCTATGATTCAAAATAATTGGATTTTTGAATTTGAATAGCTGACAATGTGAAATTTCTTCTGTGTCAGAGTTCAGTGTCTCTGACTTCAAAATGTATTCAAAATTTTTTTTTTTTTAGTTCATATCATATTTGGGTAATAGACACAGATCAATTTTTCTTCATAGTTGATTTGTAAACACATGCATTTTACTATTTTTCCACTAGTCATGCTGGGCAGGGCATAGTTTTAAATACTGACTTAACTCATGTCTTTCTTATAACCCAGACTCTTCATTTTCCCGGTTTTAATTAATAGATTCTCATTTGGAATAGAGAAGGCTTTCTGGCATTTGGATACTGTTTTGAGTCTGGGATTTGTAAAGTATGATGATTTTGGAAAAAAAATAGCATGGCATATATTTCTAAAATAAATTAAAAGTCTTCATTGTAGTCAATTGACATTTATGGGGAAATTGTTCAATTTAGTTGATGATAGATGAGAAATCCTAAAATGTACTCAAGTTTATTACCCATTTGTTATTGTTAAATCATTTTAAATGTCTCTGGATATATGGAGCTATACAGAAAATTAATAAACACTGATAGTGCTCTATAGTTGGATTTTGTTGTTAGCATCAACAGCACAAAATTTTAAAAGATGAATTTTGCCCAAAACCAAGGGAGAAAATGATTTGCATTGCTTTATTTCATTTTTCCTTTCTAAATATTTTTTGGGAAATCAAAGAACGAAAATAGGCAAAGTGGAAAAAATGGGTAAGAAGAAACAAAAGGATAAATAAAAATTTCAAAAGCATTGTTAAAAAAAATTGGAAAGAAGGGGTTGTCTCCTCCTCACTGTAAGGTAAGAAGCTTGAGACTCAAACGAAAAACCAACCAGTGGGTTCTAACAAAGAGAAGGCCTAGCTGTCTACCCTGCTCACTTAGTGACTAGTTTGGGTGTTAGAAACCACTGAATGAATCAGCCTGTAGGATATTAATGAAATCAGGCATCTTCTGCTGATTCCCAGAGGAGTGACTCTCTCCCTTCAACACTTGCTTCCCTCTGGCTTCACCAGGTGGTAATGATAGAGGTACTGGTAGCACCCCAATATGCTGTCTTGAAGGGGAGCGAGAAAGTAGAAAGCAGAAGCTGGAATAAGAATACTAAATCACCACCACTAGCTGAAGTCATAGTTAAGAAATTTCTTCTGTTTCCTACTCTTGCTAAAAAGTCAGCCTTGTCTACCCACCCTCCCTACCTCCAGAATTAGGATCGGTGCAAGGAATCTACAGAAGAGATTGGACTGAAAAATAGAATGGCAAGAGTTGACTAAATTTAAAACTTTTGCTTCCTAAGAGATACAGATGGCAAGTTTGTTATAGTTAGCTCATCACTGGAGGTTTTTAAATAGCCCTAGTTGAGAAGCAACTATGAACACGTAGCCATTAAAATGCAATAAATCTCAGCACAATAAATATGCAGTGGGCAAGAACTATAAAAGAGAGCTTCAGACTCAACTTTAACAATAAGCTCAAATAGGTTTGATTTCAATGAGGTTTTGGAGAATTGTATGTTTAAATTGTGTGTTTATATGTGTGTACTCTAATGAGGAAAATAAACCAGGATTTGTATAATAAATAAGGGCTTTTCCTTTTTCTAAATCTGTTCATCTTATTGTTTGGGATGTTAGGCATATGTTTAATGCTTTAGTTTTATATTCCCTTACCAAAAACTAAAAATAAAACCAAATCGGGGGGAAAAAACGACCAAACATTCAAACCAATTTATGTACAGGATTAATTAATACCCACTACCTTTTTCTTTTATTTTTTTGTATTTTTCCTTTGCCAGTACGAGTTATTACCTAAAAAGCCTTTTTGTAACAGAAATGTGTTATTTCTTTTTCTAAAAAGAAATTAGAAAAAATGGGATATGTGTGCAGAACGTGCAGATTTGTTCCACAGAGAAATGTGTTTTTTGAGGGGATTAACAATGATCTAATGTTAGAAATTCAGTATTATGCATCATTTTTATTCAGTCCCCAAAGAGAGTGTGGCTTTTTGAGAAGGGTCCGACGGAGAGGGCTTTGGTAAAAAAATGCTGAAATGGCACATCATGGCCTGACTCGCCCTGGGTGAGTCATCCTTACCTGGTGGTGCTGGAGCAGATTTCTAAGAGCCCCAACTGGTGCACTTCTCTTCTGTTGGCATTACTATATTTAGAATCCATAGCTAGAGAGCTCAGGGCTCCTTGGAATGATATTTTTAAATATGTCATCACTCTAGACATGCTCTCCCTCCCTCTCCAGCTGCTCCAGCCTCCCTTATACTTTCACACATCCAAATGGAACAGAATCAAGAAAAAACACACTCCAAAGGAACCTGTGACAGTAATCTCATCCGGAATGTTAAGCTCTGGACTCAGAAGCATGCTAATAGTTCCCTTGGCTCTCGTGCTTAGCGAAGTTTGAATTCTTCTAGCAGCTCAGGGGTATGATGTACAGCACTGTATTGAACTCATTGTTCAATGTAAGCCTTGGGGAAGAATATAGGAGAGTCCAGTGGATGCTTTTTCCTTCATTTTTTAGAACAAGCTTCACAAAGTTTTGCATGCTAGAATGAGAAATTCTGGCAATTGTTAGCTGTGATTCTGCTCCATGGTATATTAATTAATGATGAAGCAATCACGGGGAAACCTGGTCCTTTGTTCCAGCCACAAAGGCATCTGTAGTGAAGTTAACAAAGGCAGGAAATAGAAAAAAAATCTGTACATGGAGTGTATGTGTAAGTAAACCGTTATGAGCATGTCATTCAAATGAGAAATCTTTGTGAATAAAGGAAAAATCTTCCTCTACAAATTGTTTCATTCAGATCTCTAGAGTCTGCTTAGTAAGCCATCACCATTTTACTTCCTTGTAAATTTACATGACCCTGAGTTGTAGAACAGATGTGATGTTGAGGGAACTGATTGATTAGCAGCTTTGTTACTTTATTTAATATCAACTTTCTTACCTTGCACCTGCTTTGCAAATTTTTGTGTCATATGTTGCTGAATACAGTGGCTATGAGATAAAAGAAAGAATCGTATGTATATATGTCCTAATATTTAGCCAGAGAGACAGGAATATGTATGGCAAGTAAACTTCCAAAATAAGACTTAATAATAACATAATCAAGAATCGCATGATTAAATGCAGTTGATGGGACAGTGGTTTCAATGTAAGCTTACATGATAATGTAAGATTCAAGAGTGAGAAATTTAAACTGGTAGAAATGACACCAGCAAATATAAAGGGAATTTCAGAAGAAAAAGGTGCTCACTTGGAGCAAAGGATACAGGGGCAATGAGATAAAATGGAGAGTCCTGAAATAGAAGGGAGACAGCAAAGGCTGCTGTGATAACATGAAGAGGATCATCTAGGAGCAGTGTCAAAATGTCCAGAAAGCTGGATGTTTTGCTGAGGGGGAGTTAACACCATTATATGTTTTGGAACACAGCAGTGATATTTTAGAAATGGTTTTTGGACAAATGACTATGGCAGGGATTTCTGAATAAATGGAGATAAAGAAATACTGGAAGCAAATATATTAGCTAGGAAGTATTTTTTTCTAGCTCAGCACCTGTCTAAGGAAGACTTAAACTTGATTATGACCAACCTCATGGAAGGAGACTGAGAAATACTACTATGAATAAAACAAAACCAAAAGTAGGTGATAAGACAGAAGCATTGTCCTCTCCCTACCCAACAACATCTTTAAGGGATCTGAATTCTCACTGATAAATGAATAGCAAAGAAAAAGCCCACATGTGAGTAGGATTAAAACTACACTTTTAGCAAAAATTGCAATAATAATTTATTGAATTCTTAACAAATGACAGTGTGCTGTAAACTTTGTATGCATGTCCTTATTTAACCTGCAACACTCTATGAGGGTATTAATATTATTTTCCACAACTCAAAAATGGGAAACCAGGTTTATAAAGGTTAAGCAAATTTGCCAAAGGTCATGCATTCAGGATTTCATATTATGTCTGACTTTCCCACAAAGCTAGGGAACTTCTGTTTCTCATCATATTTCACCTTATAATAAACTCCTGTGCACTACATACTCTTCTGTTAATTATGTACCCCAAGATTGTATTATTTCTTTATTCTATTGTCCTTGCAGACAACTCACACAGTACATCTCTTTCTAGATGATTGACTCACATCCTACCTGCCCTGTCTTGAGTTATAGTTTGTTTTGGAAAGTGCATTACTGGTCCAGTTATTTAAAATAATTGGCCCATTGTTTTATAGTTTTGAATTATTTGCATTATGCTAGCTTAAGTGTTAATAATCTGTCCACTAGGGTGTCATTTCACTTTCACATTTGAAGCATATCGTATGTCTCATTTATATTACTAATATAAAAACAAGTTGAGTGCATAAAACTAGGACATGTAATTGGGAGATATTGACCCATTCATCTACACTTTCTAGGACACATTTTTATAGCAGTTATGCATCCATTTACCTTGTCTACCATTCCCTGTTTTGATTATTTTATGTATAATGTAGTTTGTCTGGGTTCACTTGCTCTAGTGGATTCCTGTGTGATTAAAATGGTTTTTACACTTTTTCTAAAAGTATATTACAGCTTTTATTGACATTAATTATATAATATTGTAGCTTAACTATTACAAAGTTTGCTTTTTATAATTTTATTTTTAAAAATCAGAATGGCATTTTCTTATGTCCCTATTGTAGCAACCTCTCCCCATTTCATCAAAGATTACTGATATCGAGCATTTTCATCTACAAGTTTTCTTTAAATTCAGGGATAGAACTTATCTGGTCCAAGAAAACTAAAT